AAATAAATTATGGATGGTCAAGGGTGGATGATGGGGGACTGTCGTGGGAGGGGGAGGGTGTAAAGGGTGTGTGGGGAGAGGGAAGAGAATGGGGGTTGGTGGTTGGTGTATGTGTGGGTGTGTATGTGTGTGATTTGGGGGTGGGGCATCTAACAACCACCGAGCTCACGATCGGCTCACTGTGCTGTGTACGTACTCACGCCAAACAAACCATGAAAGGTCGGCGGACAGATACGGGAGTGACCCCTCCTTTCACTCCGTCTGCCCCCCCCCCTAAATAACTTCCAAATCTCTTTGTTTTCCTCGTCAACGCAAACAATTCTATCACAAGGGGAAGTAAGCAAAAGCTGTAATAATTCTCTCCCTTTCAACAAATTTTTGAATTCTAATGAACATGGAAAAATGATATCAATAGGTGGATATGAGTCTAGATCTTTTCATAGAAACTTTGAGGTTGTCAAGTATTAACAAATGGCGAAACATTTGTCGCCGACAGTCATCAGTTATAATTGATCTCTGGTGATAAGACACGATGGCTGCAAACTGGACAACCCATAGCACAATGGTGGTAGCTGTGTACATAAAAGTGCGGGGCATGAACGGTGGGGGACTGTCCACGGGTAAACCAACTCTCTTTACCTTCCTCCCTGTGGGGACTAGACTGAGAGAAGGGAGAGGACACTGGGTGTCGGCGGAGAGAGAGGGGACTGACCACTGACCAAGGGACTGTGGTGGCGGTTTGACCAACAGGAGGCGCAAAGTGGAGGAGGTTGGGGTCGGGGGTAGAGCTGAGATTTTGAGAAGAGGAGGGGAGGAAGATTATGTCTCTCTCTCTCTCTCTCTCTCTCTCTCTCTCTCTCTCTCTCTCTGTGTATATATATGGTAGTGTCCAAGTTCTCTAACATTAGCGAACGTATACAAGTTGTCTACGTTCTCCAATGTTAGCAGAAAACCTAAAAATAGCTCGCTCGCTCTATGTAACATGGAAACGAGTCGACATTGCTGCTTCCACAGTGCTTACACTTTATTTTCCCAAGCTATCTAGTTTACTTTCGCGAAATTGAAATGCTCGCGAAAGTAAAGCTGTCTACAGTACCACATCTTGCCTTTACAGCGACGTTAAACCCCTAACAAGCAACCAACACCTCCTATCATACCATAGAGATGATCCCCCCCCCCCTTTCATTATAATATATATTGTAGGCCTACACTTTTCATCAAAGGAAGGTGCACTCTGATGCCCCCCCCCCTTTCCCCCCGAAAACTTTAAATAAGTCACTGGAGATCATGCCGTCTGTAATTAGTATTTAGAAGATAGCTTGCAGTTTCCATGCGATTTCGTATTCCCACCTCAACGCCAAGGTAGGCCTATGTGATACAACGTGAGAGACCATAAATGATACCAAATTCACATGTGTGGAAAAACATTGCCGATTTGGTGTGTGATGTGACATCACTGTTACGAAATCAAATCACATGGGTCAAGGTCAAGTCAATCATATCAACGCTAGGTCTACGATAGGCCTAGATCTAGTGCATGAAATAAACTAATTCAGTGAGTGGACTGGCAGACCTATTTGATGTAGATCTAACGACACAATAGGATGTAAACCAATCTGAAAAAAAAAGAAAGATTGAAAAGTAGCCTAGCCTTATCCGGAAGTTCAAATAGGGCTCTACAGGCTTAATATTGTTACTTTTTTTTATTCGTTAGAGAACGGAGACAGCTTGTATACATTCTCTAACGTTAGAGAACGTAGACACTTTCTAATGCGATGTGTACCTCAAGTTATTTTTAGAACTCTTTGTTGCTTAGAATTAGGTGAATCTGGGTTGATTTTTGTTCAAAGTTCACCCTTGGTTATAAAAATCTAATTAACATTTGTGCTCTGCCCAAAGTTTAAAAGGATTTATAAGTTACAATAAATGTTCAAATGTTCTATTTCCATGCGGACCAATCTCTGCCTCAGCTCGAGGTCTTGTGATCATATCACATTCCAAGATGGTACCGCCATGTTGTGATGCGTCTATAATATAATAAAAAGATAGTATATTACATCTAGTGGTACAGCAATGACTGTTCAATTTCTATTACTAGCTGGATTTTTTTTTCTAAGGGGAGGGGGCTGTTGTTAATGTTGTTTTAAATTCTGCATTTGGACGTCATTTTATGGTTGGGTTGTTTCAAAATTGGACGAGTAATCAAGTTCTGTCTTAAGTTCAAATTTCATTAGATCGAAATTCTTTTGTAAATATAAAGTACGCGTAGGGGGCTCTCTTGGCCTAGAGGTTAAGGTGTTGGCCTCTCATTCAAAGGTCCCGGGTTCGAATCCGGGTAGCGACCAAAAAATTTTCTTATCTAAAATTGTCTTCTCTAAAATTGTCTCCTTTCACCTCCTTTCCTGTTCTCTACCAATGTTCTGTTGTCTGCTTTCATTTCCACTTTCTGCCCCCACCCCCTCACCCCCTTTGCCCCCTCCTCTGGGCTCCTGACTCTTTCTGCAGCCTTTCTACTGCTACTCCTTGGCTCCTCCTTACTGCTGTCTTTCTGCCACACCCCTGATCTTCTGGTAGGAAAGATCTACACCTAGCCTTCTCGGACAAGGGCGAAAAATCTCGGAGGGCCCGTGTGCAAGTTGCGCACGTTAAAGATCCCTTGGTGGTATAAAATCAATAAGAGTAGGCTTCGGCCGCCAGCCGGGCAAAATTCAAAATTTCCTACCAACTGAAAACATTAGGTGTGTTCCGCGCGCTCATATGACCTTATGCAGTTGCGAGCGCCGTAAAACACTTTACAAAAACAAAAACAAACAAAAGTACGTGTTTGGTTTTGACGCCATTTTCAACACTATAAGTAATCAAGTCCTATCTAAAGTTAAACCTTCATTAGATCTAAGTTTTTCTGGGGGTGAAGCTAAAGTGAGTGCTTGGGTTTAATAAGGATTGAGCCAAGTGGGCTGAGAGTCTTAAAAGCTCCACAAAACGACCCTAGTTCAAGAACACCAAGCTGAGGATTTGAACCAGGGACGTCTACTCTAGTCTAGCATGATACCACCTGAGCTTGGGGCGTCCTCTAAGTTTTTATATAAATCATATCTAATGAAATAGACCACTAGTGACAATGAGCTGACAAACTGATGGAATAGACAACTATAAATAGTGACAATGAGCTGACAAACTGATGGAATAGACAACTATAAATAGTGACCACGAGCAGACAAACTGATGGGATAGAACTCTATATATACTGACAACGAGCGGACAAAGTGGCGTGCATTTTAAGAACCCGAACGAGCAAGTATTCGGTAAAGTTGGATATTGCGCTCATATGACCGTATGCAGTTG